TTCACTGCACTCTGCTTGTATTTGACCTGGTGGCAAAATCAGAAATGTCAGGTCAGGTGTCATCAGGTTAGCCAGATCAGGTGGTGCTAAACTATTACTGTTATTAGCTGCTTATTTAACTCAAGCAGTGGACAAGCTGTCAGTCAGCCAGCACTGACTCCAACATGTAGTTAGTGTGTTTGAGACACTCTCTGAATGTATGATTGTTCTGTTCTATTAGCTGACTCGCTCACACTCTGACTTCCTGCCCCAGAGCCACACTCGGTCCTCACACTCCTCATCCCCACATCATGACCGTGCAAACGAACCTCACGACTCGCTGACTGCTGCCCTGCTCACTTTGTGAGGCCGCTGTCTGCGTACTCACTGAGCTGATGTTCTCCTGGTTACGTCGGACTCGCTCCATCTCAGGTGTGTCCATGACTGCGGTGCCACAACCCACCTCCTCCCTGTACCGGACCTGAACAGAGCTGGAGGTGAGGCATCTGCTGCTATAAAGGCTGCTTGTTGGTGGCGGTTACTTAAACTCCACTCCCACTCAAAAACACACTTTACTTCAGTGTTCTGAAGATTGATTCTCTGAGCTTAACATTCACTCATATAAAAAAAAGCAAACTGTTTTTCTGAAGCAAGTAAACAAGTTTGTTGATTCCAACCGTAAACGTACGTCACTGATCTTCTTGGCGTTCTCTCTGGCGAGGACGATCTCTGGCGTCTCTGTGACCGATGACGTCAGGTTTCTCATCATCTTTGAGTCCCAGCAGTATCGCAGCTAAAAGGAAAGAAAACGCTGCTGTAACAAGTGTGTAGATAACACTTTAGAGTTATGTCGTATAACCTTTTAGACATATCACCGCCTGTGACTGCTGACTACAATGACCCTGCAAAACTTTGCTAATAAACTTCATCCCAGTCCTGAAAACGAAGAATTGTTTTATCTCTGAAATAGCAGCAATACAATCAATGAAGACTGAAAATGCAATGTCTGTTCCTACGTTTGCACACTTTGTTCTTGGTGTTTGTGGCAGTAGTGTAAGATTTTTATAGAAAAATACCGAAGAAGAGACTTTACTGTGTACGTGCCCAAAGCCTGCAGTCTGGGATCTAAACATTTGTGCTTATGGCTCATGAATTTCATTTTTAGAGAATAACATGTGCTCACCAAGTCATCATTACTAAAATGAGAAGAAAACGTTATTATGAACATCAATAAAAATAATAAAAAGCAGATTAAAAATGACAACAATCTTCTGCATTTACTACACTGTTTCATTGTCCTGAAGTTACATGAAAATCACAGGAACTAAAACTTCAAAGCTTTTAACTGATCATAATTAACAGGAATACAGTGAACAGATGGTGGGGACACCGAGCACTCACAGAGCTGACGTGTCTCTGGTTGGCTTTGACCCTTTCCATCTCGGGGGTTTCAGAAACCAGACTGTAGCGTCCCTTCAGTCGCTGCGCCTCGTCTTTATACTTCTTCTACAGAGAGGGGCGGGGGAGGTGGTTAGATTGGAGGGATGAACTTGTCGTTTCACTTAAAGCATCTTGTTTTAACACACAGACCTGGCTGTAGACGTCTTTGAGGTAGGAGGCGTGCAGCAGCTCAGGAGTGTCTGTAACCGACCCGTATGAGTGTTCTCTGAGCTGCTCCGTCTGCTTGTACGACTTCTGCATCAGGCAGACAGAAACCATCAGCTCAATGTTCGCAGGCTGCATGTTTTATAAGAATAAGATGTCCGAGAAAGAACTTCCATTTACTTTAATCCAGTGACACAAACCTGGCTCTGGATCTGTGAGGCTCTCTTGGCTCTTTGCATCTCCAGCACATCAGCACTCAGCTCCATGCCTTTCCCCACAATCTCCCTCTCCAGATCTTTGCGGTACTCCTTCTGTGAACACCACAGTTGGAACTCCAGTTCAGATCAGGCCACTTACACCTTTCAGAAATCTGTGTGTGTTTAGTTTACCTGGTTCAGTATCTGATTGGCTTTTCTGACCCTCAGCAGCTCAGGTGTCTCTTCAAGACCAACACCAGATAAGCCCCGCCCCTTCACCTCCTGCTCCAGGTCCCTCTTGTACTCTTTCTGCAAGGAAAGAGCGAAAAAAAGCAAAAACTGGGAAACTAAAAATGAAAAGGTAAATGATTTTTTAAAATGTAATGCTTGATTGATTAAAGCCAAATGTTTGTTCTTTTTTCTTTGTGAATCTTCATTTCACATAAATAAGATTAAAATGTGTTGATTTCTTTGCCTTCTCTCCTTAGAATTGCCAAAAATTGTTTCAAATAAGCAAAATAGTCGATACCATTATAGCTCACTTCTCTTATTATTAAAACTCTTTAAAACAAATATATGTGGGTTCACTGATTTTGTCTTTCAATCGTTCAGATAATAAAAGACATGAAAAGGAAAAACCAGAAAAAGGAACAATCACCAAAATCCACAATGCAAGTGCTTCACAAGCCAAAAGATGTTGGAAATCAGTGGATTATCTGCTCTTCCAGGTTTGAGCACAGCTTGATCAAACCTCTAACGTGGCTTTAAATAGTTCATCCCTCTGAGGCTACGTCACCTCGCTCAGCAGGCTGCTAGCATGGCGCGCTGTCAGGTATCCAGGCGTCTGGTCGACATCCACCAAGGCTTTGCCCTTCATCTGCTCCTCATAGTCCTTCCGATATTCCTTCTGTAAGAGACACACAGCACAGTGAGAGAACAACGACACACAGATAGACGTGATCAGCATTAATATTTGTAGCTTTTTAAGGCGCAGGTGCACGATAACCCTCATACTTGTACAACCAATAATTGTAAACCCCCACAAAAGTACGATCGCTTCATCGTGCCCGAGCTTCACTGGTGTTTCCTTCAGAGGCTGATATGGAGTCAAACTGTGGGGCACAGATCCACAGCAGGTGGCACACACTGATCTCAGCTTCTCTAAAATACAACCGATTTGTTTTCATGTTGTTAACGATTGACAGAAAAAGAAGTGACACCACGCTGCAGCATCGTTCATGATGCGAGCAGAGCGTTAATAACCTGTGGCTGTGCTGTGAACTCTCTCTGTACGACACTCATACACTTTAAACTCTGTTTTAAACAATATGATAGCTTTCCTTGATTTAAGCTCCTCTGGAGTCGTATTATTATATGACTTATGATTTATTTTAGGTTTAGATTTTCTCAGCTGTGAAATCAGTGTTCAAAGTTCTATAATAGGCAGTGAAGATATATGCTCGCTGTGTTCTGTGCAAATAAAAACACTTTAATTTCTCCAAACTCATTCACTCCAGTCTGCAGGCCAAAATATTGTTTGGATTATTTGCTACATGTCACGTAAAAAGTTTAAAAGTTACAACCAAAGACGCACAACACGCCAAACCAGAAGTCTTCATCTGCTGGATCCAAAGCTCAGAGTGAAACTTCTGACTGGAGTGTAAAGCTAAAGAAACACATAAAGTCTGTTTCTGTCAGAGCTGCAGAGACGTTTCACCTCGCTTTGCATCTTCTGTGCTTCCTTGGACACCTTGTAGGTCTGAGTGTCTCCGAACTCCATCAGGGAGCGACCTTTGTTCTTCTCATACTCCTCTCTGTACTTGACCTGAAGACAACAAAGCACACAAACCCATCAGACGCACTTACACAATGTAAAGTTTAGAAATGATCAGACAATGAAAGCTTTCGCTTGTGTGTGTGTGTGTGTGTGTGTGTGTGTGTGTGTGTGTGTGTGTGTGTGTGTGTACCTGGCTGTGCAGCACTGCGTTCTCCTTGTGGTGGAGCTGTTCAGCCGTGTGCAGAGCTGTGTGGTAATGAGCCTTCGTCTGCTCGTACTTCTTCTTATACTCTACCTGATCACATATACACAAACACACACTATTATACAAGATGACTATTTATATAAGCACAGGCTTATTCAACAAGCAGAAGGCTGGCTGAATAAGCCCGAGTCCAGTCCAACAATGTCCTCACTCAATGAACTAAAATAAAATAAATAAAGACACACGAGCACAATGCAGGACTTTTATTGTAATTGTGTGTCGGTAGCAGATGTTAAACTCTTTATTAACTCCTGCAACATCCGCATGGGCTTTGCAGAGACTTTTATTTTGAAGGCTGCATCGTAGCACTTTAATAAAAATAATAATCTCTGTTATTATTCTATGAAACATAGCTAGTTCTTCTCTGACAGTCTAACATATTGAATTATTGTCTAACAGCATGTGGCTTACATTGCTCTGAAGCTTGGTGGCGTGCAGGGCGTGCTCCAGCTGCAGGAGGTTCGGGAGGTCGGAAGAACCGTCTGGTTTCTGGTTCTGGTTGGTTTTATATTTCACCTGGAAGACAGGAAAAATGCATATCAGCACGCAAGGTTTTCCAGGGGTTTTAAAATGATTTCAGGGCACACGTGATTCCTTTAAGGAATGCCGAGGTTGGCAATCACAAAACAAAGAGATTTATTTGTTCCCGTTCACTCTGGTTTTACTCACTTATCTGTGCAGCTTTAAGTGATGCTCTGCCAGAGGTGGCAGAAGTACAGACATTCTGTACTTAAGAAGTGCAGAAAAACACTCTAGTAAAAGTTGAAGTACAGATGCAACGTCTTTACTCAAGTACAACTGACAAAGTGCTCTGAAATGTCAAATACAAATCTCAAAGAAAGTAAGAAGTAGCTCTTTTGAGGATATTTCTACCAGCTACTTTTTTCACAAAGCTAACTGAACCTCGTGCTATAGAAATGTTTAAGTCTAAGGTCTGGCTAAACATGGACGAGGTTCTTTCTGGAGAAGCAGATTAATCATCCGGAGGTCCACCATCACAGTGACTCTGCAGACCACAGTAAAGAAGCACGACGTGAAAGGCCAGGCCTCGTTCACAGCTGGTTAGCTGTAGCTCAACTATCAAAATAAGAGTAAGGGGACTGTTATTAGTCATAAATCTGCAGAAGGTGGGATAAAAAACGTTCCCAAAGATGTTTTATTGTGTAAAGGTCTCAATCCACACCTCGTTTTTTTTCTTTGAGGAGCCAGACTTTCTTGTAATGAGCTCTCCAAACGTTCAAAACAGGTTTTTTTCACTCATTTTCGGTCTTTGTATCTGACCATTTTCAGATTTTTTTTTTAAACACTGACCTTTGAAACTCCACATTATTGAAGTAGCGAGGGAACAAAATTCAGAAATATCCAAAGAAGACAGAAAGGTGCCTCAGGCTGTGCTGAACAAGGTGGCCGAGGTGGTTTGTTAGGTGAGTACGAACTCTGGTTCCACCTTGTATACCATGTTTCCACGTTTGCATATGTTTAACCCTCTCAAGGCAGGCGTTGCAGCAGTTAAAACAACCTGATTACCCCACATACATATTTTCTGAGTTTTTTTTCTCAGAAGCACCACTGCAGGACTTGGTTGTGCATTAGCAACAAAAAGTTTCATTTGAGCCTGAGAGGGTTAAAAAAAATCACTGTGCCATTGTGCTCGAGAACTACTGGGGCCTTTGGTATCCAAAACGGATCCAGCATCACAGTGATTCAGAGTGACGTGTGGTGATTATGTTTCCTGGTTAAAGGTTAAAGATGAGCAGACATTTTACAGACATTAATGTCCATCAGGGTCAGTCATTGTAAAGCTCTCTTCTTTCTCTGCCAAGTAAAGATGTTCTGGCTTCAGTTCGTCATCATGCTGTTCAAACAGCAAACCCAAATCTCAGGGTCAGAACATCACACGAGCCACATTTTCTACCATCTGCAGAAACAGCAAAGTGTGAGAAGTATTAAAAAAACAGAAATTTCCCTTTGAGTTCCACATATAACACTTTACTTTGATGTTTTCTTCAGTTGTGTTGCCAAAATCGGTTCCAGTTTCAGCCCCCTTTTCAACAAGCTCTTCTACTAAAAACCTGCATTCAGAGATCCGCCTATGTATCATGATGCTGAGTCTCAAAGAGAGGCTTTTCTAAAAATGCAGCACTGTGTGAACGTGCAGCACTCCTGAACACCGGGCAGCGTTCAACACAACAAGCTGTTATGTAATGCGGTGAAGTGGGGAGGCTCTTTTCTGCAGCTGTGTGGGCAGTGAGTGGACGAAAACGGCTGCCTCTGTGTGTGTCTATTTGTGCTTGTATGGTGCTTCCTTTCACTGTTCAGCTCTTATTTTCTCTTTTTGTTTGCTTGGAATGAAATTTATGGTGACTTTGTAAAGACATCTGAACTCCAGGGGGCTGCCCGAGGTTCAGATGTAGTTTTAGGTTTCATGTTAGAGCTGGGCTCATATTTGGCTTAGATTTGTTTAATATTTAATAGTGATGATGGTGTTCAGAGCGAGAGAAAGAGGAATGCTTATATCAATAAATGTCCTCACAACTGCAGATAGACCAGCATGTGTGTGTAACCTCTTCAACTTCTCCAGCTTTCATCCCACAATCCCTCTCCATTTGCCTTAGAAAGGTTGCCATGGTTACGCCCACACAACAGACTGAATTTTTCGTGAGTGTGTGTGTGAAAGAGAACGACACACACACAGCTTTTTCCCTCTTCGACTTGATTATCTCAGTGACTAAAAGAAAAAAAAATGTCTCCAGGTGATCTACGGGGAAAAATCGGATTATTCTGTAAAATATAAAAAACGAATGAGTCATCCATCCATCTTCATCCGCTTTATCCGAGGCCGGGTCGCGGGGGTAGCAGCCTAAGCAAAGAGGTCCAGACCTCCCTCTCCCCAGCCACCTCCTCCAGCTTATCCGGGGGAACACCAAGGCGTTCCCAGGCCAGCCGAGAGATATAATCTCTCCAGCGTGTCCTGGGTCTGCCCCGGGGCCTCCTCCCGGTGGGACATGCCTGGAACACCTCACCCAGGGGGCATCCTTGTCAGATGCCCGAACCACCTCAGCTGGCTCCTTTCGATGTGGAGCAGCAGCTGCTCTAACTCTGAGCCCCTCCCGGATGGCCGAACTTCTCACCCTATCTCTAAGGGAGAGGCCAGCCACCCTTCGGAGGAAGCTCATTTCCGCCGCTTGTATCCGCGATCTCGTTCTTTCGGTCACTACCCACAGCTCGTGGCCATAGGTGAGGGTAGGGACGTAGATCGACCGGTAAATTGAGAGCTTCGCTTTTACACTCAGCTCCCTCTTCACCACGACGGACCGGTGCAGCGTCCGCATTACTGCATCTCGATCTCCGGCTCCCTTCTCCTATAACTCGCGAACAAGACCCCGAGATACTTGAACTCCTCCACTTGGGGCAGAAACTCGTCCCCGACCCGGAGTGGGCACTCCACCCTTCTCCGGCTGAGAACCATGGCCTCAGATTTGGAGGTGCTGATCCTCATTCCCGCTGCTTCACACTCGGCTGCGAACCGTTCCAGTGCGAGCTGGAGGCCCTCACCCGATGAAGCCAACAGAATCACATCATCCGCAAAAATCAGAGATGAGATTCACAAAAACTCAAATGCTCAGTAACTAAAAAAGTAACTAAAATGATTACATTAAAGCATAATGCTTTAATGTAATCCATAAAACTATCTGGTTGTTTTTTTATTCCCCTTTTCAAACAGAGTGGGACGACTTCAGACTGAAGGGGAAACCATACTGTTGCTTCACCAGCCGAACAACCACATCTGAACAACACCCAACTTTAATATAATGAAGCCCACAGAAGTCAAAGAGTAAAATATTGTTCCCACTCTGCACTGCTTTCCCATTAGGCATAAAATAAAAACAAAGAATTGTAAAGAAAACTATGGACACACTAAACTACACAGCACACACATGCAGGCATTTTAACAGCTTTCCTTTGTGGTGCACTTTCATACTCACCCAGTTAGACTATGCTGACCTACATTCAGAAAAAAACCTGATGAACGATCATCACATGCTTTATTTGAACTTCAACCTGTGTGTGACTGATCATGTGACCACGGTTCACTCACCTGACTGGCCAGAGCAGCAGCAGCCTGCGTTTGTTTGAAGGAAACACAGTCCAGCGGGTTGTATTGAGGTTTCTGCCCCTTTAACTGTCTGTCAAAGCTCTCCTTATACTTCACCTGCAGGACAGCGATGAACAGAGACATCAGCTGTTAAATGTGAGTGTATCTTTTCCAAGTCTTTTAACCACACATTATAGTGCTCACTTGCAAAGCGGCTACTAGTGCATGCTGGGAAGGCTATGTGTTACCTGGCTGGCCAGTTTTGAGACCTCTTTGGCGTGCTGGATGTCGGTTCTGGCCAGAAGAGACTCGTCACTGTAGACGGGCTGCTTAGTATTACTCTTATAGGTCACCTGTAGATGTCACAAACACACAAGAAAGACTAAATAAAACAAATACAAAAAGATTAAAACAGCTGTGAAAAGACATTTTAGTTAAATGTAGTTATTTTACTTTCAGTTTTTAGGTAATTTGATAAATCTGTGAACTTTACAAGCATCAGGAGGCGCCGGAGCAGATATTTATTGAGACTGAGACGTCTGAGTGGGAGTAAAGAGATTTAACTGTAATATCTGTTCCAAAATCCTTACATTTTGCCCTTGGCAGCATCATCCACATAATATATATTAACAGCATCTAATAATAACAAAACCAGGTAAAAAATAAGTAAACCCAACTGAAAACAATCAGAGACAAAGCCCCTCAATACAAACTAAAAACTGCTGCAGTGTATTAGGGCCACACAATGAATAAATTAACGAATAAATAAATATATAAATAAATAATATATTATTGATAATTTGAGAATAAAGTCAAAATTCTATTTAAATGTAGACATTATCGTACAACGTCTGCTGTATTCTCCACAAACCCTCTTGCTAGTGAACCTGGTGCATCGTTGTCTGTGTACATTTGTTAGCACTGAATTAGCTGTTACTAGTTCCTGTTTGTAAAGTACAAAGAACACTAAGTGGATGTTATTACAGCCGAACACATACTTTCTACTTTCAAGTCTTTATCTAAATTGGATCCCTGAAACTAAGTCCAAACCTCAAAGAGACCCCTGAAGGTCTGTCCCAAAGAGAGGACCGGGTCAAAATGTCCCCACTTTCCAAAACAAGTCCTCACAAAGACAGAAATACAAACACACACACGTCACACTTTCCCAGAAAGCTACAAAACACTCGCACATAATGACAGTTCAGTGTTAAGAGCAGAACATTTTCTATAATTAATCAGCATTTCCACTCAGAGAGAAGCAGCTGAACAGGAACGTTGTCATGGAAATGAGTGTTGGATGGAACGTGGTTACATGTTCACACACACACACACACACACACACACACACACACACACACACACACACACACACACACACACGCGCGCGCGCTTACATCGCTGGCCAGTTTAGCTGCGTTGGTGGCGTTCACGATGTCAGGTCTGTCTGGGATGGTGTTGTAGTGATGAAGCTCCTCTTTACCTTTCCTGTAGCTGACCTGAGACCAGCAGAGGAGGTTAAGGAGAAAAGGAGGAGTTACTCTAATAAAACCAACATAAACAAAAGTGCAGTGAAGTTCAAAATTAAAAAGATAAATAAAACGCAGGTGTTAAACACACTGGCCATAAAAACAGAAAAAAACAGCTGAATTCACTGAAAGCTGCTGTCGGGAAAAGAAGGTCTACACTATGAGTAAAGCCACTGTGCATGATGATCACATGCACAGCTCCACGGTGTTCACTTTTAGCACAAAAATCATATAATTAAGTCCTTTCCCAGTCGCTCCTGTGTCCCCTTGTGTGTCTCAGATCTCAGTGGGGCTTTTTCCACTCGCACTTTGATGACAACTATCTTTGTTTGTCTCTGGTAGCTTTGATTCTTTTTCCTCCACCTTTTATTCCAGTTTATTATTAGCTCTGACATAATCGTGGACTATAAATGGAAACAGACAAATCATGTCTCTTGCCAACATATTTATTCATGCAATCTATTTTACACATTGAACAGGTGAATATAATAATATTTTACAGTATTAACCGTTAAAGGACACTGTTGTAGAAAGACTGAAATAACAGCTAATGGTCTAATATCATAGACGGTGCATAGACTGCATTCTTTCTAATGGCCAGCAGGTGGCGCATCCTCTGGTTGCAAAAATACTTCCAGTATCTAGAAGTTTGTTAGAGGTTTGTTGTTTCCTTGATGTACCTTACAGAACGTTTTCCTGATGACTTCTTGGGATTTCATACACTTGCTCTGGAAAAGCACAAATATTCGCCTCTAAAACTGACGGCAGCATCGTTTTAGAATTCAGAATAAAAAGATTTCATTCCGTTTTCTCCAAGCGTTGTGCTTCCTTGCTTTAATAAGCTGATTGTCGGTGGTGTTTGGAGAATCTCAGCTGAGGTTTTTTGCGATGCAGCGTGAAGCCGAGTAAATTTTTGATCGACTTGTGCAAACGCTGACTCGCCTCTTTTCCCATCACCTGCTGTGAGTTTGTCTTGTTGTATTTGTATGTAATGATGCTGCACCATTGCTCAATAAAACACAATGTCCATTTTTAATTACAGTTCTCCTCGGAGTTGATAGAAGGATGAACCAGGTTACACATTCACTGGTTAACAACTCATTAATCAAACGTTGTGCTCACAGGCGTCAGATCCAGTTTCAACACACAAATATGGTGATGGTGAAGCCACGAGTAAAATCAGTCAGCTCAGAGCTGCAGTATCAGACTTGCCTAACCAATCACAGACAGCGCAATGTTATGCAGCAGAGTACAGTAAAACATGAACAGTGGTTTGGCAGATGCACTGCAAAATAACAGCTACTTGTTGTGTTTTACTGTAATTTAATAGAGAAACTGTTAAGTTTGCTGATGAGCTGCTGTCGGCACAGTTATACGAACAAACGTTACATAACAGCTGTTGTATCACTGATTCAGACGGACAGGTAAATATTTACTTCACTCTGCTTCTTGTTGACCTCCATGGCGTGCTCCACCTCAGGAAGCGTCTTCATGTTGGTGTAGCTGGACTTCCCCTTCTCCCGATTATATTTCTCCTTGTAGAGTTTCTACAGAGAGACAGAAGAAAGTCAAAAAGAACTGAGGAAGAAAAAAATGATTAAATAAGTGAAGAAAAGGAGATGTGGAGGATTTGAAAAGAGAGACGCAGAGAAACAGAAGCCTGATAAATTTAGGGAGGAAAACATCAGATGACTAATTCATCCTGGTGCTGGATTGCGTCTGAAAGCGCACTCGTTCATTTGTCTAAAAATAAGACGAGCTGACTTCCAACTGTGAAAATGAGGAATTCACAGCGTGATGCACAAATGAATACAAAAACTGAGTGAAGTTAAAAGGCCTGCAGAATAAACCGGCCGCCTTCTGTTTGGATTTTGCTTTAATCGTGTTTCAAAAACCAACTGATTGCTAATGTGTCATTTCTTTATAAAGAAATAAGAGTCCTACATTTAAAAAAATGCTTAAGGTCTATGAATCTGTGAAGAAAATAATAATTACTGTAATAATAATAATTACTGCAGACTGTCAAACATTAGATATATTGCATATAAACATAAAACAGCTGCATATCTGTAAACTTGTACTATAATATCAGGAGTACAAGGACAAACTAATGAGTGATGTATGAGTTTTAACTAGTTTGGATAAAACTGTTATTTAACTGCTTGTAATGTCTCCTTGAGTGTCTTTACTGGTGCCTGAAAATAAAATGTTGTTGTTGTTGTTGTTGTTGTTAAATGAGGTGAATTTTTTAGCTTCTTCTTTTCATTTCATTTTTATTGCGGCACATGTGGCGCAGCGTGAAGAACAGACAGACTGAAGAAACTGATCT